GGTGAAGATGTGGCAAAACAAATTTTTTCAGATATTGCTAATGGGAGTGGAAACAAGCACCAAACTCTATGGGATGCAATTTTCCAAAATACGTTAAAATGACATGTATATACCTTTTGACCTAGCTAGTCCAGTTCTATAATTTATTCTACAGATATACCTGCACACACATGTAAGATGGCACAGGTAAAAGGCTATGCATTGCAGCTTTGTAATAGCAAAAGATTAGAAACTACCTAAATGTCTCTCAGTAGGAGACTAGTTAAAAAAATAATGGCTTATCTAACAATAGGGTATCATGAAGCTATAGAAATGACTGAGGACTCTCCTACATAGAAATTCCTTCTCTGTATCCATTTCAGGAAAATAAAATAGATAACAGGAGAGGTCCAGGAAAAAACATAAATATCTATAAACATGATGTTATAAAAAAGTACAGACCAGGGTATACAGCATGCTATTTGTGTAAAAATGGGGAGAGGAGTATATGCATACATGTATTTGTTTGTCATATGCATAAAATAACTCTAGAAGGACACACAAAAACTGGATAACATGGATTGTCATTAGGTAAAGGAATTGGGTAGGTGGGAGACACAGAAAAAGAGAATTTTCACTGTGTACCTTTTGTACTTTTTGCATTCTAAGAATGTTTTCCTATTTAAAAAGTTAATTAATTAATAAAAGATACCTCTCATACACAGGCACACCCATAACCACACACACACAGAACACACTTCATTTGCTATCAGACTTCAGAGCTACAAAGATAAATAAATCCCCAGCATGCTAGCTTCTTGGCAATATTATTAGGCTACCGGGCCTTGGGAGTTAATGGCACACATGTTATAATTAGGGTTAAGTGGGACTCATCTGCCAAACATGTCTGCCTCCTGAATTCCTAGCACTTTATCACATACACTTGTTGAATAAAAAATGAAAACTGAAGGATAAACAACAGATTAAACAGCAAATGGTCTTTGTGGATAATCCCAACTATTAATATAGTAAAAATAAACATAGTTGTTATACCCAGTAAGTCTGGAGACTTGGTTTCCACTACACAGCTGTGGGCTTGGTAAAGTCACTTGAATGGGAGTAACTAGTAAATAGGGAGCGTGGACTAGATCATTTCTAATGCTCCTTCCAGTTGCATTTCTCCTTGAAGGTATCCCAGTTGCAACACTCTTTACCAGAGTGTATGATCAAACTCTTTACTGTCACGTTATGTCTGAGTCTCCAGCTTTCTAGACCTGGGAAGACCCCAGAGTTACCCTGCTCTCAGTCTTTTCCTTTTTGCTTTAAAATACACAAAAGTCTTCCTGTTATCCAAAAACCTTCTGAGCCACTAATTTATTTAACTCTTCCTCCCATTTCTCTCTTTCCTTTATCTGCCAAATTTCTTAAATGATTTAAAGTCTGTTTGTGTGTCTGTCTCTTATGAAATTCACATCGCATTAAATTAACCATTTAAAGTGTACAATTTAGTGGCATTTAGTGCATTCACAATGTTGTCCAACTATCACCTCTATCTAGTTCTAAAATATTTTCAGGGCTTTCCTGGCGGTGCAGTGGTTAAGAATCCGCCTACCAATGCAAGGGACACGGGTTTGAGCCGTGGTCCGGGAAGATCCCACATGCTGCGGAGCAATTAAGCCCATGCACCACAACTGAGCCTGTGCTCTAGGGCCCACGAGCCGCAACTACTGAGCCTGCATTCTACAACTACTGAAGTCCGCATGCCTGGAGTCCGTGCTCCACAACAAGGGAAGCCACCTCAATGAGAAGCCTGCGCACCACAACGAAGAGTAGCCCCCACTTGCCGCAACTAGAGAAAGCCCGTGCACAGCAACAAAGACCCAATGCAGCCAAAAATAAATAAATTAAATAAATTAAAAACATATAAATAAAATATTTTCATCACCCTCAAAGCAGCCGTTGTACCCATTAAGCAGTCGCTCCCCATTCCCTCCTCTCATCAGCCTCTGGCAACCATTTTCTATCTTTATGTCTCTATGGATTTACTTATTCTGGATATTTCATATGAATGGAATGTGACCTGTGTAACTTTGATGTCCGGTTTCTTTTACTTAGCATAATTTTTTCAAGGTTCATCCATGTTGTAGCATATATCAGTGCTTCATTTCTCATGGCTGAATAATATTCCATTGTATGGCTATACCACATTTTCTTTAACCATTCATCAGTTGGTAGACATTTGGGTTGTCTCCACCTTTTGGCTTTGTGAATAGTTCTGCTATGAACATTCGTGTACACATATATGTGTGAATATCTGTTTTTCAATTATTTTGGATATATACCTAGGAGTGGGATTGCTGGCTTATACAGTTAATTCTATATCTAGCTGTTTGATGAACTTTTTGTGTCTCTTTTTGAAGCAGTTTGCTTAGGCTTAGGTGCAGACATTCATCAGAGGCTCATTCATTCAATAACTATTTATTAACTGCCTGCTAAGAAACAGGTCCTTTGCTCAGACACTGGAAGATATGAGGGTAAGTAAGACAGTTTATCCCTTGAAGGGTCTCATGGTTTGGCATAAAGAGGTAGATGGGGAAATGAACAAAATGTAAACTGGATAGCATCTTTCCAATGATGAAAACCCTACAGGAACTCATCACTGCAACCAGAAGAAAACCCAAATTCCATACTAGAGGCTTCATGACTCTGCCTACACATGTGACCTCATGTAATCTCCATACAAAGTGTTATGGAAGTTCAGTGTTAGGAGAGAGAACTTCACGGAAGAGATGAGATTTAGCTTGTCCCTTAGGTTAGCAGGAGGATCTCTATAGAAACCAAATGTGAACTCCTGAAGGGAGACACATGAATACATTTTCTCATCTGCTTTGGGCTACCTTCCTTCTCTCAGAATTGACTCTCTTGCTCTCTAGCTGATCAACTTAGTCAAGAATCTGGGGCAAACTTTTAATCCTGCTCTCGCTGATGAATTAGTAATTGCCTGGAGGAAATGTTTCACTTTTATCCAAGATATTATTAACATTTTCAGGGCAATATAGTATTATTTAGGAACTTGGCAAAGTAATTAACCCAAAGCTCGTGTTAATACACTTATAAAACATAAAATCCGGGCTTCCCTGGTGGCGCAGTGGTTGCGAGTCCGCCTGCTGATGCAGGGGACGCGGGTTCGTGCCCTGGTCCGGGAAGATTCCACATGCTGCGGAGCGGCTGGGCCCGTGGGCCATGGCCGCTGAGCCTGTGCGTCCGGAGCCTATGCTCTGCAACGGGAGAGGCCACAGTAGTGAGAGGCCCACGTACCGCAAAAAAAAAAAAAAAAAAAAAAACCCATAAAATTCTTGTTTACTTTGTCATCAGATCCATCATTAGTACCCTTAATTATTGAAGACATTGATACTTCAGATTTTAATGAATTGTTGGAAAAACTGCTGGAATTATGAAGGCCAATAAATTGTTTGAGCATTTAAAGAGAGTTAATGGAAATTTATGCCAATCTAGATTACATAATCTCTTCCAAATTTTCATTTATCTCTACCATATACACCAATGCTACTTCAACTGGCCTACCTCTAACATTTGCAGAATCTGGGGTGAAAGATTAAATGGAGGTGTACATACCATATATCTAAATATTTAAAAGTTATATATCAAATGGTTGCATAAAATATGTTCTATCTTCCTACTTGTATATTTGTGTACATATGTATATACATACATATGTATGTATATACATACACACACACACACACACACATATATATATATAGATCACAGCTGTGATTAGCTCACAGTCCTCAGACTCCAACCCATTTCCCTCCTCTTTCTACCCTGCTTTTGCTCCTTGCTATGAATGATTTCATGAACATGTGTGTGAACACTCTCCCTGCACATCCAACATTCATTCCCTGCTCCTGCAAACAGTCGTCCCTTGGCTACTCCTTGGGCCTAGTGGTGCAGACCAAGAGGAAGGCCCTAGGGAAGAGTCCCATACAGGTCTTGGAAGCACACTTGAAATTCGAGAGTCCTGCGTAGTGGAGTGTGATCTGGAGGTGGGGAGGACTGGTAAGTGGAGTGGGTACCCTCCCTTCATCCCATCCTCAAGCAATGGGAAGGAATGAGATGTAGCCAGAGAAGGGCCAGAGCAGAGCCCTCTAATATGGGGTCCAGAAGTGGGCCCCTCTTGCTGCACCTCAGAAATCTCTTCTGTCCTCCTTGTCAACAGTGAAAAATTGTGTGAGTTTTTTAAACTATGTGGGCCTTGGTTTCCTGATCTGTATAAGGGGTCATAAAGCTGCTGCTATTGCTACTACTCAAGGTTGTTGAAAAGTCTAGATAAATTTAACAATGTACGTGAGAGTGCTTTGTAAAGGTGCTATATACTAGAAACATATTGTTATTATGTTGGGGTTTTTTGGTTTATTTTGATCGGACCCTGTACTAAACCAGAGGGCAAAGCAGCTGCTTGCTGTGCACACACTCTCATGTTCTCATTAACGTATAACCAAAAAAGAAAATATGGAGAGCTGATGACAAAGGAGGCAAAGGTTATTAAATATCCTTCACGTTTTATTTTTCCTAAATCTGCTTCCTGATTCCTCCAGATCCAGATTGATTTCTTTAAAACCCTGAGTTTGTGGACATGTGCTAATTTGCATGGCTGATCTAGGTCCCCAGATTGATGCCGGGTAAGGGACATTACTCTTCAGCTGTAAGGCAGGGTAGCTCCTGCATTAAGCAGGAAGCAGACTGATATCTCATCTGTTCAGCCGGCAGAGAACATGCAGTGTACCTTTGTGGTAAAAGCAGACGACTGAACGAGCAGGGTGTGCAGGGGAATGAATTACACCATGAGCTTCTGCATCCATAAAAATGAGGCCGCTCTGGGGTCAGGCGGGTGGGTGATGTTTCACGGAGGCAGGTTAAACTGATTCGACCCTCCGGCTCACTGATTTGAAGCTGACAAAAGGGGCTGTGCTGTCGCTCTGGGCTCCGAATGAACTTACCGTTGTCTCTGGCCATTTTGAACGAGGAAAGTCTCTGGATTTTTCTTTCTTAGGATTGTATTTTCTTTCTTCTTCTTTTAAAAACACCATTTCATTCCTATTTGCACAGAAATCCAAATCAGTTTTATTTTCAGGAATAGGGATTTTGGTATGTTTGGGGCAAAACCCCTATATCTTTATCCCCTTTTATCATCTTGCTAAATAGAACAAATTGTGCTACTTCGGTTTTTTTGCTTTTCAAAAGCAATTACTTCCCTGTCATTTCTAGACATTCAAGCAGAAGAGTCTGCCTTGATTACCCATCCTTCCTCTCCCCTCCCCCTTTCAAGTCCTCTGGCTTCTGCACTGCTAGGGAAGGATTCAATTAAATGAAGTGTCAATGGAGCTACAATGGTTTCAGGTCAGAGACGTCAGTAAAAAGCTGTGGAGCTGTGCTGTCCCTGTGTATGTAAATGTATATATTTATACCAGGGATGTCAACTTTCAGGACTCTCCTCCTCTGCTCTTCCCTGATCAAAGATGATTGCTGAGGCAATTACTGCAGAGGAAAAGAAAATCAGGGCCTCCCGTTCATCCTAGTGCTGTAGGAATTTAATTGCTTGGAATAATGGAGCAGGAGTCCCTTTCCTTTGCACACGGCCACACTTAGACACACACAAACTTACACACATGGTTGTGCTAGGACACAGGATGGCAATGCAGAAAAACATCCATGCACCCCCTAGTCCTGATGCCTGTACATGTACACAGAGCTGCCTGTGACACACACACAAAATACTGTACTCTCTAGCTAATTCAATAAAAGCAATGTATAGTATCTGGCTTACATTAAAAACTATGTTTTTACCTTCCTTTATAAAAGACTTAATTTTTATTCCTTTATCAAAAGAGACATCTAAAGTTAAAAAAAAAAAGAGAAGAGGATACAGGGAGAAGTCACAGCAGCAAAATACACAAATTCTTCAGTTTGTGCTTTTGTTGTTTAATTCTTCTGTACACACAGTCACAGAAGTCCTAAGTCTCTGCACAAACACTTCACATGTTAAAAATCCCTCTCAAGCCCTTTTTGCTTTGTTGTAGGCACAAGGACAAGTTGAGTATTCTATACTATTCACTGTGTTCTAGGCTATTCTGCTTTTGTTCTTATATGACATGAAGAGGGATTCTAACTTGCATCAACAAATATAAAGAGTGACATTCAGATGCAGAGAATCCTAGCTCTCTAATTAGTTCTGCTATGTCCAGGCACTGGGAGTACGTGTCGTGTGGCTTCAGGCTGGGGTGAGTCCCTGGTCACACTTAGAACACAGGCTCTAAAGCATCCACATGGCAGATTCAGGTTTTCATTTCAGGCTCCCAAGGGCTGTCAGATTTTAAATATTATTATTTGGCCTAATTGGTTCCTCCTTTGATGGCAAGAGAGTAAAGACAGGGAAAAATACCCTCAGAAACCCTGTCATCCACACAAAGGCAGAGCACAGACACTTGGCTTTGTGTTAACAATCACTAGAAGTTTTTCTTTTTCTTTTTGTGGATTAAGTAGTTAACTGTGTGCATGAAGCTCACATCCATCCTTTCTAGGACAGTTAAGAATAAATACAGCCTTTCAGAAAAAGGAATACAAATTTTTTCCACTGTTGTGATTGTTGAAATTAAAAAAAAATTTTTTTTCTGAAAATTTCAGAAAATGGTGGTGGTAGATAAACCAAGTGCAAACCAAAAAAGATCCCAAAGCACCTTATTTTAAAGATTTGGAGATACCAATCTCAGGCTTCTCAGCTCAGCAAGACTACCATCCTCTCTTTGGATTCTCTTTTCCCAGACTGTGTCTTGGAAACTGACTCCAGCCAGTTATCTGGACCAATCATAGGGCTCACCTTTTTTGTTTTTTGTCTCTCAGAGATCTCATTCCTGTACTACCTAAATAGAATGTCTGAAAACAGTTGTTTTATATGTTTTATCTTATTTTCTAGTTGTTTACAGTGGGAGGACAATTCTTATAAAAGTGAATCCTTCATGATTTTTTTTTTTGCTCTATAAACACTTATTGGGGAAGGGTGGGGGAATCCTTCATGACGGGAAAGAAAATTTTAACCTACATATTGTTGAATAAATGATTGAGTGAAAAAAAAAGATTTGGAGATAAAAGTGGCTATGTGGATGGCTATGTCAAAATATTACAACTGAGCCCCTGATAATGTCTCTGATGGTTTTTTTTTTTTTTTTTTTTTTTTTTTTTTTTTTCGGTACGCGGGCCTCTCACTGTTGCGGCCTCTCCCGTTGCGGAGCACAGGCTCCGGACGCGCAGGCTCAGCGGCCATGGCTCACGGGCCTAGCCGCTCCGCGGCATGTGAGATCTTCCCGGACCGGGGCACGAACCCGCGTCCCCCGCATCGGCAGGCGGACTCTCAACCACTGCGCCACCAGGGAAGCCTTGTCTCTGATGTTTTTGTTTATTTGTTTTGGTTGCTCTGGTTCCTAACTGGTGGATTCTGGGCTTGGGTTTCATATTTCTGACTCCCTTCTCTAATGGGCCTCAGTGTCTCTTTACAAACATGTGTAACTCCAGCTGTCGCCTTCCAGCTGCACTGATGCTGATGAGCTTGGACACTGCCCAGTCTTGAATGTTCAATCTAATAGGGGAGGCAGAAACATAAATAATTACAATACAGGAGAAAGACCATAATAAAGGTGACGAAGGAATACCCAGGAGGAGCACAAAACCTGGGAGGAAATCACATGGATCCTGTTCTGGAGCAGATGATTCCTGGGCCAAAATTAGCCAGCAGGTTATCAGTTACAATGACCAAAGCAGCCAAAGTTACCTTACATTTGACATTAATTTTTCAAATGATTTGATCTCCCTAACCCTCATTTGATGGGAAGTCCAATGCCCTCCTCCAGATTTCTGTAAATTCCTGGGTTCGAGGGGCTTGAAGTCCAGCTCCTACCACACATCACTGGTATTGAACTTCTTTTGGCCTGTCCGTTCCCCCTGGTCTGTACCAATCCAGGTGTGGTACCTGGTACTACACAAGTACTTGGCACTTGGTTTGTATGAAACACCCACCCAGGGTGTGTGTGTGAACACCTTGAATTTTGGAGAGATAGAGGTTTTACATCACCATATTCCTGGCCCTTTCTCGGTTTTCCGAAATTCCTTCCCTATCATTTCTGCAGCTCCCCCACTCATCTGGCTCCCCTATCAACTTAGCTCTGCTTACTTCATTACGGAAAGCAATAGCATTCTCTACCCGCTCCACTGCTCCAGCCGGCCTCCACATACCCATTGTGCACATCTACCGTCCTTAGAAATGTGCTTACATATGTACACACACACACACACACTCTCTCTCTCTCTCACTCTCTCTCTCCTAGCAGAGGCTTTGAGATTTGAGTATGTTCCTTCTTCTTCCTCCACTTGTCTCTGTGGAGCCTCATTTCCTCATGCTGAGGATTATGGAATCTCTTCTCATCATCTCTCCAACAAGGTAAAGTTATCCCACAAATAGTCATTCCACATCAAATGTGTGCCTGGCTCTGTTTTGGAGGCACTGGGGACACAGTGGGAAACAAGCAAAGAGAGTCTTCGCCCTAACAGGTCGGTTTTAGTTTCTAATACCATTTCCCCATTTCCCCCTATTTTTCCAGGAAGCAAAATGTATTTAATAAATGTTTGCTGAATGAGAGTTCTCACTCAAATTTCTTCTGCTGCCTTATCTCTCCTTACTCCTCTCCACTAACCCTATGCTCAGGTGTAGTGTCAGACTCTCCCAACACCACCTGTCTATTCCTGCTGCTAGAACTTTGAGAGGGGTATTCTTTTTTTTTTTTTTAACATCTTTATTGGAGTATAATTGCTTTACAATGGTGGGTTAGTTTCTGCTTTAAAACAAAGTGAATCAGCTATACATATACATATATCCACATATCTCCTCCCTCTTGCAACTCCCTCCCACTCTCCCTATCCCACCCCTCTAGGTGGTCACAAAGCGCTGAGTTGATCTCCCTGTGCTATGTAGCTGCTTCCCACTAGCTAGCTATTTTATGAGAGGGGTATTTTTAAAGCTAATATTTATTGTGCTCTTTTCATGAGCTTTGCAGAGTGCCTTATATTCATTCTTTCATTTAATCCTCACAAAAACTCAATGAGGTAAATAATATTATTTTTGTTTCACAGATGAATAAACAGGAGCTTAAAACAATTACTTTCTTGCCTATAGATGGTCCTTACCTATTAAAATCCTACTCACCGCTTTAGCTAATCTTGAACCACATGATCTCCCCAGCCTTTGAAATTCCATACCACTCTGTTTCAGCTCTGAGTAACCTAATTCACTATTTGTATTAAAGATATTTTTTCTGTCTATTAGACTGTAAGCTCCTTAAGGGTAGAGGGTGGGTACGTTCATCTTTGGATACATTCAGATGCTTGCATACGGAGGCCTCAATAAATAGCTTCAAATTAATTTAAATAAAACAACCATAGAAAATGGCTTATCTCAAAAAGGAGCTGAAGGTTACATGAATTACCTGTATCTCCTAGAAAGTTCGGAATACTGTCCTGGGTAGAGCCAGAATTCCGAAAGAATTTTGAATTCTTACAGTTATTATATAATAACTGTAAGATTTACTATTTGTACTAAGGTCCCGAACTATTTGAGGCTAACCTGCACTACAGTACGAATAAAATAATATTGCAGGAGTAAAGAAACTGAAAATAAGAATTAAGCCAATTTAAGAATCACTAAATAATGAGAGGGCTTACAGCTGCTATTGTGAATAACCTAATTATGTTTTCAGTACAGATAAATTTTGAACAATTGCCTAGGTCATAATAGATGTGTAGCTAGAAAAGAGACCCTGTTCCAAGTACTCAAGGTAGACAGCTATGGAGCCAAAGACAGTGGTTGTCTGCACATGTATCCAATTTTTTTCTCTCTGTTCCCCGATAGTGAAGCTATGACACAATGTTTTGTCAAGGAACGGTTACCAAGAACTGGCATAGAATTCCACAATAGGTATGGGCTGGAAGGAGTTATAGGTATCTGGTCTGTTTCTTTTGGTAAAGCTAAAGTCTACTTTTTCTTCATGTAC